TATTGCTTCGAGAAATCCTGTTTCTGTTCAATTGTATATTTAGACAAAATAGGCCTAGCTCCTACATAATGACTTTTCGTTGATGCTGGACAAAGTATACAAGGTTCCAATCTCTCCTTTTATTTTCTCCTTCCATTTGCTTGGACCCATCCTTTCTTTCTTTAATACTTGTTCGGTGTGCAGGGTCTGTTGTTTCTTCTCTGCGCACTATGTCCACAAGATGTTTCCAAGATTCGCGTTGGACAGTTACCCCAGCATGGGATAGAAACACTGAGAAACATAAGGGAGTTTTTGGATTTGAAGTTCGTTATAAAGCCAGATCCAAAGACTCACACAGTAATTCTTAAATGTATCGGTGCTGGCTTGAAGAACCTTTCCAGAAAGCTGCCTTGAAGGTGATGAGTCTATGTATTTCTATAATTTACCAATTTTTGTTTTGTTACAAGCTCCTAGGACTCATACTGGAACATTTTTGATCAAATTACTCTGGTTTCTTTTCTGTCAGTAATTCACATTTTTGGGCTGCAATGTATTAATCCAATTGACCAAATTTTCTTCTATTGAAGATTTTTTTTGTCACCCTCTTTAATTGTATTCATGAGAAAGTGATGAGAAAATTTTCTGGCCAGACCAATTATGAAGTCAACACAATAATATACAGATTTAAACATTACGAGAGTTGTTTAGTTTCCCTTCTTTTTAAATGAATTTTAATGATTTACTATTCTATTCTGAGCAATATTTTAATAGGCAGTGTTTTGCATGTGTCTCACTATATTCTTAACAATATCTTATACAATGTTCAAGTTAAATAGGTTTATGTTGGGAAGTTTGGAAAGTTATCTCGAAGGAAACAGAATTCCTTAGAAAATTTGAGAAGACCGACTTTGGCAGATGTCTTCATATTTCATGTTTTCATATGTTTTTTGGGGATAATAGATTTTAATAATTTTGTTTGGTGTGTTTTCGTACTTGCTTTCATTTTAAATTAGTTTTTATTTTCTATTCTAAATTAGATAATTTTTTCTTTTATTTTAAATTTGCTCAATGTGTGCTTTGATGGAACAGCTGACCAGATCACCACAATTCCTCTTCTGTTAGCAATAGGCATTAATCGAGTTGATCGAATTATATTCATTGGAAAAATATTTTTTATGGTTGTTTTTAATTGTATTCGAAGATTGATTACTTTTATAAGTTTTTTTTTTGGTAACAACACTTGGTCATGAATGTCTTATTAATTTATCTTATGCTACATTCTGAGTAGCTTTTTAAAAGTAGTTTATTGAGGCTCCTTTATGTTCTTCACTTTCAATACCTTTCATCCGTCACTACTCCCTCACTTTCTCCCTCACTTTCATGGCTTTTAATTTTAGAACAATGAAGAATGTCCCGTCTTAACTCTAAACCAAAACCTTAGGATTCGAGGTTGTGGATCATTTCACTCTATAATATATTTCTTATTAAAACCAATTTTATTTGACGTAGGACTTTTCATATCAATTTTAAGTTTACTCATGTTTGGATATCTTAACAAAAAAAAAAGAAACTAATTTTATATACTTTACTAAACTTTCCACTCAAAATTCAAATGATTTACACTACTAATTGTACTCCTCCAATGATCCTTGGTAAGCTGCGTTTACAACTTGTGCTGCTTTGAGATGATCTTCACTTCATTATAAACTAACCACAAGCTTCTAAAGCTGTCTCATGTTAAATACCATATCATCCGTGCATGGTCCCTCTGCAATTTCAGTATGTGTATCCGGATATTTCTGGGCTATGTTATGGAGATTTCCTCTCATACCTTTTTCTATTAATTCGAAATTATATTTCATTGAGAAAAAAATTGCACAAGAAGTGCCGTTAATTTCACTTTTCAAAATAACATCGAAATATTTTTTTTCCTCAATAATATTGCTTTCTTGTTGCATTCAAAAAACAGAATATTACTTCCTTGTTGCCTTAAAAAAAAAACAGAATATTACTTCCTTGTTGCATTTAGAAAAAACGAATATTACTTCCTTTTGCATTTAGAAAAAAACGAATATTACTTCTTCTTTTTTTTTTTAGCCGACAATGTTAGTTCCTTGCAATGTATCGGGAGAATTGTAATAAAATCTTATGAAAGAAACATACAAAAATGTTTCATAACAATTTAGCAGTTTCTAATAATAAATATTATAGCATATGTTACATGATTTCTCTAAAATTTTTATCCGGATGAGTAGACTATATATCAATTTATGAGTGAAGTAAATTAGTTTGGAGAAAAACGATAAATATAAATAGTTAAAGCAATTTAGTAGCTACTATGTTCCTTCAATGGGGCCTTATTATGATTCTCCCAAACAAATATTGTTTCTTGAAAAATAAACACCCTTGTAGCTTGGATGGGGATGAACTTAGGCTCATATATAACGAATAGAATAATTATTGTTGCATACAAGGACAAAACTGCATTTTGCTGGTCACTCCTCACCCAAACGCGCCAAGGTACTGATGACTAATCATCTACTCTCTTCCATTGTGAATTCTTTTCTTATTTAATTATCTCGTTTTCTCTTGGTAACAGCTTGTAAGATTGCAAAGTAATGCATGGCTACTTCCAAAATTATTAGTTTAATTCTCACCATTATATTGTGCTAGTTACCTACTATGGAAGAAGTTTGGTTTTGGTACCCACTACACTGATAAAATATATCAACCTTTCAAAATCTATTCCCGATAGTTCAGATTTAAATTTTTAAATATATAATTTTAAGTTCTTAATTTTTTTTTGGAGAAAGTACTCTTTTGGTCTTATTTATAAGGTAAAGAGAAGAGATTTTTTGGTCTTATTTATAAGGGAAAGAAAGAATTTCTTTCATATGAATGTATAATTTTATCTTTTATTTATTATTATTTTGACTTTGTTTTTATAGGTTATAATGTCTATTAAATTAAATAGAGATAAAGTTAGAAAGTTGAATTTTAATGCTGCTATGTGAAATATATTGGTACTGACTTATAAATAAGGCCAAAAAAGTAATAATCAAGATATTATCTTTATTTTAAATTTTACTCCTAGACCTAATTTATAAGATAGAGAGAGAATGTTTCTTTTGGTTTTATTTATAAGCCATCTCATTAAATTTTTAGCTTGAATGTACTTTGTCTTTCATTTAGTATAGTGTAAATAATTATTTTTGTGAATACAGTTTAAGGTTTTCTTTGATTTATATAAAACATACTATAAATGTTCTATAAATTAAATAGGGCTAGCGAAGTATTTACTACTCCCTCTGGCCCTTATTATAGGGAATTATCTAGAAGAAATTTTTGGTCCTAAATGTAGTCATTAACCGGCTCATTAATGGCTACTTTCCAATTTGATCTTTGTTAATAATTAATGTTTAGGGTTAAAAAGCTGATCAATCTCCTTGTTTATCTATATACGTTATTTAAGTTGGGGTAATCTTTAAAAAATTTATTAATTTAGGACAGATTTAATGCTTCAATTCTCATTTCTTGGTATGTGAGAATTAGTTGTATAATAAAGACTAAGGGGAGTAATTAATTTCTTAAAAATGCGAAAATAATTAATTTTAGATCATCCAAACTCAATGTGACAGCACTTATGAACATCGAAACTAATCTCTATAAAAGATTCTCGAAAAACAATAATTAATCATATTCTTTTCTCGTTACTTTACAAATGTCAATATGTCTTGTAATTTTTTTTTTGGTTTTATATTGAAACCTTTTTTAATGTATAGTCTTCTATGGCTACTAATAAAATTGTCTTCATTTCAAAAAAAAAAATCTATATAAAGGGAAGATAATTGACAATGTTTACACTATATATGTATTTAAAAACCGCATTGTTTAGCAATGCTAATTATGCTTACAATATACAGGTTGCTAATATTTGATGCCTATGCTATTAACCAATTTTATAGTTCATTTAATTATTTTTTCCTCAGGTTTAAGGTTCATACTGCATTTTGAAGTCTTCTTTCCAAGTGCATCTAGTACTTAGAGTATTTAATGGTTCATCTAGTATTTTGAAATATTGTTTTAGGTGCGTTCAGATACTCAAATATTTTATAGTTCATTTAACACCCTGAAATATTTTATAGGATACATTGAGCATTCTAAGGGTTAGGGTATTTAGGGTGCATATTAAGGTTCTTGGTGTACCCAAAAACATATTTAGGGTGTGTTTGGATGAAACCAAACCGTGATTTGAAAAAGTGATTCTGGAGAATAGATTCTGGGAAAAATAGATTCTGTGAAGAATAGATTTTATATATACAAATTACTAAAAAAAAGACATAAGTTAATATGATAATTACAGAAAAAATAGATTTTATGATATATTTTAATTTGAAGGAATAAAATTATTAATAATATGTTTTTTACCAACATAATTAATAATACATAAGACAATATAATTAATAAATAATTAATGTGTATATATATTTATAAAATATAAGATTAAATATATTTATAAAAAATATGTTTATAAAAAAAATAACAAGATACATATCATATAGGCCATCACACTCTCCCTTTTTTCTCCAAAAGCAAAAAAATTTTGCTTTTTTCAAAACCATGGTTTTGACCCAAAACCATGGTTTTGGTTTTTAGAGGGGGTGTTTGGGTGACACCCCAAACCATGGTTTGGGGACACCCAAACCATGGTTTGGGTCCCCAAACCATGGTTTGGGGTGTCACCCAAACAGAGCCTTAAGGATACTAAATGAATCATAAAATATGTTAAGATGTTGAACACGCATGAAAAAAAATACTTTAGAATACCAAATGATCTACGTAATACTTTAAGGTGATAAATGCAATTAGAAAAATGTTTCAGGGTATTGGATTAACCTCAACCCTTTAAGCTATAAAAGCGATTCAATATGTGAGATATGCTATAAATATATATATATATATAGTGTTCGTCCTTGCTTTTCATTTCGCTTACGGACTGCTTTCTAAATCAAATTTTATAGATGGAAGATGATGTGATGGTTGATATGAAAACTATGATTCGAGATAGTGGAGATGGTCATGTGTCACCAGACTGTTGTATTTCTAGAGTGATTTATCCAATACGTGATATAAAACCAGATGCTTACACCCCAAAAATTGTTTCAATTGGTCCCTTTCATTATGGTGATGAGAGGCTGCAAGATATGGAAAGGCACAAACAAGTTTTTTTCAAAAGATTTACACAAAGAAGCCACACAAACTTGGATGTTATGATTAATTTTGTCAAAAGTTCAGTTCCGAAAGTGCGTGCTTCTTATTCTGGGAACATCAACCTTAGTGACAAGGAACTAGTGAAATTAATATTATTGGATGCTGCTTTCATCATTGAATATATCTTCACTGTGCTTGCTGGGCAGAAGAAAGTACTGAAAGATGCTAAACTGTCACAGCCATCATTGATGGGAATTCTGTTTCTGGATTTAGTTTTATTTGAGAATCAACTACCATTCTTTGTTTTGGAAGAGCTATTCAATATAGCGTTTCCCCTTAACCTTCGTGATGGTAGAATCACTTTTCCTAAGCTTGCTTGCCAGTTATTGAGCAGCACATTTGGATTTGAAGGGCCAGAGCATGATCTTAATAATAATGTGAGAGCAAAGCATTTCACAGATTTGCTCAGGTTTTTGTTCTTCCAAGGAGCACTACCAAGAGTGGAACCATTCTTTCGCACTACTGACATTCTTTCATACAGTGCAAAGGAGTTGCAAGAATTTGGAGTGAAGTTCAAGGCTAGCAAAAGTAAGAGCTTATTAGACATCAAGTTTTCAGGCCATGTTCTTGAGCTTCCACGGATTTACATGGAGGATCTCGTCACTGAAGCTTTGTTTCTTAATATGACCGCTTTTGAGCAGATCCATTGTCCTCTTACCCCTTACATTGCCAGCTGTGTTACTTTGTGGAGTTGCTTAATCAGTACAAGGGAAGATGTGGATATCCTCGTTCGCAATAACATAATCCGCAACTTCATGGCTGATACTGAGGCTGTTGCAGCATTTAGTATCATGGCAAAGAATTGCTATCAAGCTTGCTTCATTGTTTCTGAACACGTTGATATCTTCAGAAGGTTGAATAAGTTCTGCGGAAATGGTTTGCGGCGGACGAGACGTGATTATTGTAGGACGGCTTTGCACACTGTGGCCTCTTTTTCTGGAATCACTCTCATTCTCACCATTCTTCAGACCATATTTTCTATACTCCAAGCAATAAAAGAGAAGGACACGTAGGTTCTTTTGAAGCTTGCTTTTGTGTATTTGAGTAGTGTCGTGTTCTCAGAATTTGTTGCGTTCAATTTCATTCTGTGTAATACTCTTTCAAATTGCAATTGCATAAATCGCATAAGGAATCAAACTTCTTGCTGTTAGTTCAGAGCATATCTTAAGCCCATTCAATGATACAATGTTAAGCCATCATTATTCATTATGTTGTTTTTTAAACCCAAATGCAATTTTTGTCCATAAAATCCCACAAAAATGTAGCTTTAATCGGTGTAATTTACCAATAAGTTGGTCCCAAATATTGAAGCCCTGTTTTTTTGGCTCGCGAGACTCTGTCTTCAGAACATTACACCATAGCTCACACGTTGCTCCGACGATGAGAACAGTGATGGTTGTTGATGAGAAGCTTAGCGAAGTGGGTAGCACTAAATATGGACTTCAAGAATTCGAACCTTCCACCAGAGCCAACCGTGTTGGTGCCATGAGTAACTTTTTAGTGATATTAATAATGATTTTTTCCTCAACGACCACTCGACCTTGGTTAGGAACTAAAGTTTCAAATTTAAAAAAAAAAAAAAAATTCATGGCTGGCTTCCTTCATATCTTCGATTTGATACTCACCATCACCAGCGGGCAATCGCATTTATTCTGCCCACGCAACTTCACCCTCCAGCGTAACTTCCCCCTCCGGCTTCCTTCATATCTCACAATTTTAGAGCTTAAAAGGGCTCAACTCGACGGCCTCAGCTAATTTTCTCGGCTCTGCATAAATGGGACTTTGACAATAAGTGAACTGGGTTGGAGGAAGTTGTTAAAAATATAAAATAAATAGATATGGGACGAAGGATTTGGACGTGAAATTTGTTGGCTCTTTTTCTCTCTGTCGCTTTCTTTCTGTGCATTTTTCTCTGTGAATTTCCTGTCGGACCTGATTTTCATTGTAATTGCTACAATATACAAACTAGCTTCAGATATATATATATATATATATATATATATATAGATATATGTCTCCTTGAATACATGTGTCTGATGATGCTTTAATAATTAATGATAAATATTTTTATTTTCTTTCTTTTGACTGTTGCTATCAAATAAAAAAGCTAAACCTATGTGATAGGATAGTTATTTATTTAACCATAGAATTATTTTGTCAGCAAATTGAACGGTCAAGAGATTGGATCTTGGCGTGTCCTTCATAATTCTGCAAGTAATTGAGAAGACTATATCTTTTTTAGAGTTAGGTTCCTCAGAGTAATTAAATTTTACTGCATCTATCCTTCCATTTGACCAGTACACACAAGCAAATGGCTTGTGCCAAGAGATTTTTCTGGTGGACTAATTTCCTGCTTCATGCTTTGAGTTCCAGAAAATCCAGTTCTACACATAGGTAACAAGAAGAAAGTAGTAAATTTGACGCACTTGGAATATTCAATATCATAGAAACATAATCTCTGTGGTGCAAGGCATGAATTGGAAGAGGCTGGGGACATCTACAACTCATAATATCTATAACAATTCCTCTCATATATTTGCTACTTTAATTAAGAGTATAGTTTACATAACGCATATTAATCTCTTTTTTTCCCCTTTGAAACCTTTAGTGTGCTTCACGCCATAACGTCTTTTTAAACTTTCATGCGCTTATGTTTCTACCTAATGAACCATTTTTTTTTGCATGACCTTTAGCTTTCTTTTGGCCGACAACATGACGTTTAGCTCATTTGATGCTTTTGCTTGAACCAAAAAAAAAATTCGTCCTTTTTCTTTTTCTTTTTAGTTATTTTCATTTGCTTTTGATATTTGTTTTAGTTTAAAGTCTCTGCAGTGGTACTTTTTTTTTTTTTTTGCCAGAAGCAGTGGTACTATAATAAACAGTGCTGTATGAGAAAGATCAGTTAATTAGAAGAATTGAGGTGCATGAGACCCATTTCCTTCATTCATATAAATTCTAATATTTTTTCCATATCACTAATAATAAATTCTTTATTGCAAATCTGCTTGGATTGAGAGAAAATGGGAGAAAAAGGAAAATTGAGATGGAAAATGGAGGAGGAATGGAGTTTTTCCCTACTTGGATGGAAAAGAGAGGAAAAATAGGGGAAATTGGGTGCGCTCCACACCCCATTTTCCCTTGAAATTTCACAAGAGATTTTTGGTCAAATAATTCATCCCTATCAGTGTCTTCTCCCGCGAAGCTCTCATCAGTCCTTAGCCTTTCATTTTATTTCATCATCATGGTGCAAGACATTTTATTTTATAAGCATCAAGATTAATTTTAATGATATTATTAATGACATTTTCATGATATCAATTTCTCATGTTATTATAGTCTTTCATTTTATTCGATTTTTATCACTTCATTAAAATATTGGATAATGTATAATTTTTTATTTCTTTTTATTTTATTTAAATTAAAAGATTATCTCCTTTTTATTTTTCATATAAAAAACAATTTCCTTTTGTTAAATTATTTAGTTTATTTGCTAATTATTTATAATGAGGGTATTTTAGTCATTCTAACATTTGCTCATTTTATTTTCTCTCTATTTTTTTCTCATTCATCTAAGCACATCTAAACAGGATGAGTAATAATACTTTGAAAATATTAATTTGTTAGTCCTCATAGTTGCATTAGATTTTGAATTAGGTCCCCTCAACGCTTTTTTTTTTTGCTCAGGCCCTTACGCTTCATAGTCTTTAGGATGATAGTCCTTCAGTTAATAAACTTTAGATGCCGTTTATACAAAGGATGTACTAATAAATCATAGCTTTATCTCCTATCTCCGTATAGGATCGCACTCTTTCTTCTGCTGGGTCTACTTCTTCATCAACATGAGCACTCTCACTTGTGTTTTTGTGGATCCAAGACAATGTCAGATGACGATTGGGGTTCGACATTCTGATAGTGGCAAAGATAAAAAGAAAAATTAAAAAAATAATTGAACAACCTAACTCAAAATCGGATAAAGCTATGAGGACTAGCAGATTAATTTTTCCTAATATTTTTATTCCAGTTTTCTCTTCCTTTCATTTTTTTTCCGGTTCATTTTTTTTCCTCCGAATTTTTTTCCATCCAAGCATTCTAATCCAGAATTTAATGGGTATTAATATTTAACGACAATAAATAAATTAAAAATAATTTTACCGAAATATTACGACCCAAGGATAGTTACTTTTTGAAAAAGTGATTATATTTTAGGAGAAAGTTAATGCATTTTATGTTTTTATTTCTGCTAGTTGTGCCATTAATGAATTTTTCACTTTTCCCGTTGGAAGGAAGTAATATTCTTGAGATGTAACGTGAAATTTGTTTTCCCAATTAAAAATCAAAACAAAACAAAAGAAATTGTTGCTTGAAGGAGGATAAACCTTTCAAGATATATAATTAGCCTGTTTGATTAAGTTTAGATGGCAGAAGAAATGCCTAGTGATATGAATCAGACTTATTAGGCTCGGATGAGAGTGGTCAACGAATGGTGAAGCTGCAGCGACCACTTCTCTCATCTCAGCCTTCAGATTTATCCTCCAATCACTTGCAACAACCACAGGTGCGCATCATTCTTTACTCCTCTTTCTTCAATTCCGAAGGTTCAGATTAAAGTTTCAAATCTATAATTTTTAGTTTCTAATTTATTTTTTGAGATAGTGGTAAGTAAGATTATCCTTATTTTAAATTCTATTTATTAAATCTGGATCTCCCGTACTTAATCTGATGATCTAGACTAATCCCTAAGAATGATCCTCTGTAAAAGCACTGTTCAAAAGTGATAATTATGCTAACAGCATGAAAGCTGCTAATATATGTTACTTATGCTATTAGTTATAAAAATGATCTAATACGTGAGATGTGCCTCCTTGCTTTTATTTTGCTTATTGGATTGCTTTCTAAATCAAATTTCATAGATGGAAGACGAAGTGATGGTTGACATCAAAATTATGATTAGAGATAGTGGACACGGTTATGTGTCACCAGACTGTTGTATCTGTAGAGTGATTTATACAGCACGTGATATAAACCAGATGCTTACACTCCAAAATTTGTTTCTATTGGTCCCTTTCATTACATTAATGAGAGGCTGCAAGAAATGGAAAGGAACATACAAGCTTTTCTCGAAAGATTTACACAAAGAAGCAGCACAGACTTAGATGTTATTATTAATTTTGTCATAAGTTCAGTGCCGAAAGTGTGTGCTTCTTATTCAGAGAACATCAACCTTAGTGACAAGGAACTTGTGAAGTTAATATTATTGGATGCTGCTTTCATCATTGAAGCTCTCTTCATTATGAGCCGAAGACAATGCCGAATGGTGCTAAACTGTCACAGCAACCATTAGGTGGAATTCTACCTCTAGATTTAGTTTTATTTGAGAACCAACTACCATTCTGTGTTTTGGAAGAGCTATTCAATATAGTGTTTCCCCCTAACCGTCGTGATGATGGAATCAATTTTCCTAAGCTTGCTTCTTGGTTCTTTAGTATCACATTTGACCTTGAGAGGCCAAAGCATGATCTTGATAATGTGAGCGTAAAGCATTTCACAGATTTGCTTAGGTTTTTATTGTTACAAGGAGCACCTCCAGAAGAAATGGAACTAGTATTTTACGCTACTGATGTTCTTTCATACAGTGCAAAGGAGTTGCAAGAATTTGGAGTGAAGTTGAAGGCTAGCAAAAGCAAGAGCCCATTAGACATCAAGTTTTCAGGCCTTGTTCTGGAGCTTCCCAAGATTTTGGTGACGGATCTCGTGACTGAAGCTTTTTTCTTTTATATGATTGCTTTTGAACAGATCCATTGTCGTCAAACCTCTTACATTTCTAGCTATGCTCTTGTCTTGAGTCGCCTAATCAACACAAAGGAAGATGTGGATGTCCTGGTTGATAATAAAATAGTCCACAGCTTCATTACTAATACTGAGGTTGCTCCGTCATTTAGAATCATGGTAAAGAATGTCGGTCTAGCAGTGCTGCTTCCTGAACATGTTGATATCTTCAAAAGTTTGAATAAGTTCTGTGAAAATGAGACGTGATTCTTGCAGGACGCCTTGGCAAACTGTGGCCTCTTTTGTTGAAATCATTCTCCTCATTCTCACCATTCTTCAGACCATATTTCCTATCCTCCAAGTAACAAAAGGAAAAAGAAATGTAGATTTATTTGAAGCTTTTGTGTATTTGAGTACTGTCGTGTCCTCATAATTTGTTGTGTTCAATTTCATTCTGCGTAATACTCTTTCAAATTGCAATTGCATAAGTCGCATAAGGAATCAAACTTCTTTGCTGTTAGTTCAGAGCATATCTTAAGCCCACTTAATGATACAATGTTAAACCATCATTATTCATCATGTTGTTTTTTAAACCCACATGCAATTTTTGTCCATAAAATCCCACAAAAATGTAGCTTTAATCAGTGTGATTTACCAATAAGTTGGTCCCAAGCATTGAAGCCCCCGTTTTTTTTTCTCACTTGCAAGACTCTGTCTTCAGAATGTGACACCAGAGCTCAGATGGTGCTCCGACGATGAGAATGGTGATGGTAGTTGATTAGAAGCTTAGCGAAGTGGATAGGCACTAAATATGGGCTCCAAGAATTTGAACCTTCCACCAGACCCAACCGACTCGGTGTCATGAGTAACTTTTAATGATATTAATAATGATTTTTTTCCTCAATGGCACTCGACCTATGTTAGGAACTAAAGTTTCAAGTGTCATGAATGTGGTACTGGGAAGAACGGCTTGTGGGTTTGTAAAGGTACCCACTTCACAAAGCCCCGCCCTTATATAGGCTGGTTTGGGTTGGCCGGTGAATTTTTTTAGGCCCGTTTAAAAAATTTTTGTTTTGTATAGAAAAATTAATCTTTTAGTCTTTTAAGTTTTAATTCAGTTATAACTTAACCTTTTTACTATAATTCACGGCAAATCAATCCCTTAACTTTTTAACTTGGCTAAATCTCAATCCCTAATCTTTTTCTATTTAATAAATTAATTCTTTTTATACATGACTCGCCTTGACTCATCGTAAGTGGCTTCCAAGTAAGCTCCACACAGGTTAAATGAAAAATTCAAAAAAAAAAAAAAGGTTTTCATTGCTGGCTTCCTTCATATCTTCGATTAGACACTCATCATCACTTGTGGGCAACCGCATGTGTTTGATTGTGCTTTATTATGAATTTACTCATCTGCCTTGATAAAGATATCAGTGTTTTCTTCTTAAAAAAATTTGTTTTCAAATTTGTAGTTTAGTTATTATTTTACTTTAATTTAAGATACATTAAAGTTGAAACTCATAAATTTTTAATTCAACTTATAGAATCATAAGTTATATAAATATACAAAATATTTTATATTTTAAAGTTCAATTGAACAAATCTTGGTCCAAAACCAAATAAATCCAACTATTTTATGAAATTCAATTTTCAAAAGATAATAATATCTACATATTTGTAATATCATTAACAATATAAAAAAAATCATATTAGATTATACAAATAGTTTTTTGGAAAAATAAAAGGTTATAGGCTGGCTGGCCAAGTTAGGCCCTCGACCTGTTAGGGCTATCCCTCTTAGGCCTGTTTTCAATTTAAAAGGCAAAATTACAAGCTTGATGCTCACAATCTTAGAGTTTAAACAGGTTTAATTGATAGTCTCAGCTCGTTTTCTCAGCTCTGCATGAATGGGCCTTGGACACATGCTTTTTGGGCTACAAGAAGTGGACTGGGTTGGAGGAAGTTTTCAAATAGATATGGGACGATGGATTTGGGCGTGAAATTTGTTGGCTCTTTTTCCCCCTGTGGCTTTCTTTCTCTGCGTTTTTCTCTGTGAATTTCCTGTCCTGTTAACCTCTGGACCTGATTTTATTGTAATTGCTACTCCTCAGACCCTAAATATAAGACTGATTTTTTTTTTTGCTATCAATAATATAGTACGGATTAAACAAACTTCAATGCCCTCACAAGGGCAATATAAGACTGATTTTGTAGTGTCAATTATACTACAAAATGGGTCTCATATTTAGGACTGGAGGAGTAGAATATAAGAACTTGCTTCATATGTGTGTGTGTGTGTGTGTGTGTGTGTGTGTGTATGTCTCCTTGAATACATGTGTCTGATTATGCTTTAATAATTAATGATAAATATTTTGATTTTCTTTCATTTGGTTGTTGTTGTCAAATAAAAAAGTTAAACATATGTGATATCTATTTATTTAACCACGGAATGTTTTGTCAACAAATTGAGCGATCAGGAGATTGGACTGTGGTGTGTCCTTGATAATTCTCTGAGTAATGGGGAAGACTATATCGTTTTTAGAGTTAGGTTCGTCAAAGTAAATTTCGCTGCATCTATCCTTCCATTTGACCATCACACATAAGCAAATGGTTTTTGCCAAGAGATTTTTGTAGTGGACTAATTTCCTGCTTCGTGCTTTGAGTTCCAGAAAAGCCAGTCCTGCATAGGTAACAAGAAGAAAGTACTAAATTTGACCCACCTGGAATATTCAGCATCATAGAAAAATAATCTCTGTGAAGCAAGGCATGAATTGGAAGAGGCTAGGGACACCCACAACTATAATATCTATAACAATTCCCTCACATATATATATATATATATGATACTTTAATTAAGAGTATAGTTTTACATAAGGTGTATTAATCTCTTTTTTTCCCCTTTGAAACCTTTAGTGTGCTTCACGTCATGATAGCTTTTATTTTTCACTGTCTTTTTTAAAAACTTCATCTGCTTATGTTTTTACCTAATGAACCACCCTTTTTTTTTGGGCCAAGTACATGACGTTTAGCTTATTTGATGCTTTTGCTGTAAAAAAAAAAAAAAAAAATACTTCCCGTTTCTTTTGATACTCATGTTGTATGTATTTATAAAACTGCACTGAACTATTTGTAGTTTAAAGCCTCGGCAGTGGTACTTTTTTTTTTTTTTGCCAGAAACAGTGGTGCTATAATAGAGTGCTGTATTAGAAAGATCAGTTAATTAGAAGAATTGAAGTGCATGAGAACCATTTCATTCATTCAGACAAATTCTATATTTTTCCCATATAACTAACTAATAATAAATTATTTATTGCAAATCTGCTTGGATTGAGAGAAAATGAGAGAGGAAGGAAAAGTGAGGTGAAAAATGACAGAGGAATAGAGTTTTTCCCTGCTTAGATAGAATTAGTGTGGGTCTCACACCCTATTTTCCCCTCAAAATTTCATGAGACTTTTGCTCAGCAAATTCATTCCCATCACTGTCTTCTCCCACGAAGCTCTCATCACTCCTCAGCCTTTCATTTTATTTCATGATCATGGCACAAGACATTTTATTTTATAAATATGAAGACTAATTTTAACCGTATTATTAGTGACTTTTTATGATCTCAATTTCTCATGTTATTATACTCTTTCATTTTATTTGATTTTTATCATTTTATTAAAATATTAGATAATGTATAATTTATTTATTTCCTTTTATTTTATTTTATTTAAAAAATCATCCCCTTTTTCTTTTCTCATATAGAAAAATAATTTTCTTTTGCTAAATTATTTATTTTCTTTGCTAATTGTTTATAATAAAAATATTTTAGTCATTCTGACATTTACTGATTTTATTTTTCTTTTATTTTTTCTCATTCATCTAAGTAAGATGAGTAATAATACTTTGAAAAAATGACTCCTCTGGTCTTAAATATAATACCTCTTTTGTAGTGTAATTTATACTACAAAAAGAGTCTTATATTTAGCTCTAGAGGGAGTAATTTGTTAGTTCTTATAGTTGCATTAGATTTTGAAGTAGGTCCCCTCAACGCCTTTTTCTTTTTCTTCAGTCCTTACGCTTCACAATCTTTAGGATGATAGTCCTTCAGTCAATAAACTTTAGATGCCATTAATACAAAGGATGATGTACCAATAGATCACAGCTTTATCTCTCTTCTCTCTCTGTATAGGCTGGCACTCATTTGTCAGAGTCGACCACTAATTCACCACGACCAATTGGAAGACGTTAATAAGGAGAGGGAGAGTTCCTTCTTCAGCCGGGTTTACTTCTTCATCAACATTAGCACTCCCAGTTGTGTTTTTGTCAATTCAGGACAATGTCAGGTGACGATTCGAGTTTGACATGCTGAGGATAGCAAAAAAAAAAAATTGAGGGACTTAATTCAAAATCGGATGAAATTATAAGGACGAGTAGATTAATTTTTCCTAATGTTTTTATTCCAATTTCCCCTTCTCTTCATTTTTTTCCCTCCCAGCTCTTTTTTTTTTTTTCCATCCAAGCATGCTGGACATGAATTTAATGGGTACTTATATTTAACGACAATAAATAAATTAAAAAAATTTTACTGAAATATTACGACACAAGGATCGGAGTGAATTTTCAACTACACATACTTCTCTAATCCTATTTATAACATAGAGAGATAAGGTTTTTTGTAATCTTATTTATAGAGGTGTGCATGGGCAGGGTTGGACAGGACATGACCCCTACTCAATACCCAGTTCGAAGGATAAGTAGGCTGCAAAATGCAACCCAGTGCCTGGCCCTACCCAGTAGAAGCCCATGCTATTTTGGCTGGGCAATTACGGGTTGGGCAAGGCGGGCTTTCCTTATCCAAATTTATAACTTGAGTAATAAAAATGCCGTATGTCTTAACAAATACCCATGCTTTAAAATTTTAACAATATCCATAATTTATTAAAAACAAAACAATAAAAAAATTTTAATTAAAGTCTTAAAGTCCAAATAATTTGCATCAACCTCCACAAAGTTGAGAAAATAACAAAACATATAAAAAAAATACAAGCTATATTAACATGCTCAATTATATTATTAACTTATAGTTTAATATAATTTATAGAGATCTATATATTACATTTATCATTTCATGATATATGAAGTAACATCAACATATAAAAGTTAAAAGACAATTATAGTACATAGCAAGATAATTTTAAAAAGTTAAAAAAGGTGGTATATTTTTTTTTATAAAAAAACTACAACTTTAAAAATATAAAGTCTAATAATATAAGGGAGTAAT